ATAGCCCGAGTTAAAACGCGCGGAAGTCATTTTCCGAAAAGGGGGTTGCGAATGCGTATTATAGGCCTTTAAGCGAAGCATACGTGTATTATGGTATATATACGTATGTGTTTGTGTGCGAAAGAGGAGAAAAGCACCTGCTGTATGTAGCGCGACGAGGAGGAGGAAGAAGGAAGAAGAGGGAAGAAGAAGAAGCAGAAGAGGCAGCGGCACGAGTAATTCAGTGAGTACGGCTAATTGTACAACAAGGAGCTGCTGTTACTGGCGTCTTATATACAGTATAGCGACGCTGCTACATAGCTGCTGCTGCTCATGCCGCGCGACTATATCCTCCAAGATTTTAATTGGATTGTCGCTCCGCAGAATCAATGAATTGGGTTAACTCCGCTGCTGCTGTCGCTGTGGCTGCTTTGCACGTGTATACGTATGTGAGAGTGAGTTTGTGTGTGTGTGAGTGTGAACGCGCGGATCAATAAGCACATCGAGCTGCTATGTGTGCAGTACTGTATTAGGTGTCGCGCATAGACGTCTAGTAGCCGAGTCGCAGGAATTATATATCTGACCCGCATTCGTGACTGGATACTTTTTTTTAATTTACTCGCAGCGCTACGAGGATGGAAACACATTTTCTCGGATTTTGATGATCGACGAGCACTTTTACTCAAATTCCCACATCGTTGCGATATCGCGAATCCGATTTTCTCGTCCATTTATATGCGCAAAAGCAGCTATATATCGGCGAACACCCAACGAGATAATGGATAAAAAAGCACGAGAGGCGTATAATGGAATTCGCGAGCTTTTTTATTACACATATAGGCGCGTTATTTACAACGCACGATCTCGCGAGGATGCATCCGCGAATATATAATGCAAAGTTTTGTTAAAGTCGACGATTCAAGAGAGAGAGAGTCGAAATTGAAGTGCATCAGTGGCAAGAGTCAGCCGATTATGTACTTCTTGAAACACAGAGTCGATAGGTAGAGTATGTATAAACGATTCTTTTTCTTCCTGTTCGGCCGAGGCCTCTCCCCCCCGTCTGTGCTTTCTTCTCTTTTTATTATCCTCTCGATTTTATTTTATTCTCAATTTGACGACGACGACTACTACTATTGCTACTACTACTAATACTTGAAAAAGTCTGCAAATGGAGAAAAGTACTCGAGAAATGAAAGAAGAAGAAGAAGAACGAAGGAGAAGGAGAGAGAGCCTCGATCCTCGCAGTGGATTTCAACAAAGACACTGCGCGCGGGTGCGATGCCGATGCCGCTGCAGCTGGAACGGAAACAAACACACGGGTAGGTACGCGCGGGAAGAGGATCGATGCTTTTCTTTGCCAAAGGATTACCCCCGCTAAGGAGCGAGGCTTTTCTTTTCTTTTTACGTGGATTAGAGATTTAATACTTTTTGGATAAAGTCAGCAGCAGCGGCGGCATCAGCAGCAGTGGCTGAAGTAGTAGCGGCACGCAGGGTAGGGGGGAGAGAGAACGAAATTTTTCGACACTTTTCGCAACGAATTGAGATTTGGCACGCTCCAGCGGAGAGAGTCGAAGTTCCGCGCGAGGATTTCTTTTCCAAGGCCGATTCAAAGCGAGAGAAGCAAAAAAGTAGCAGGGGTGTGGGATAGAAAGTTGAAATCGAAGATCTCGTGAAATATTCGCCATCTTCGGTATCGCATCTACAGATATACAGGGACCTACATATATATACAATTCGGGAGGCTTTATACCTTCGTACGACTTACGCGACAAATTCATCAATTTCCTTGAAGTACTAAACCTTACCTTGTGTGCGTGCGAGGCCATCGTATATCTGTATACGTGTGTAATATCGATAGGATTTGATATATATTACTCCGAGCGTGCGCGGGACATAATGCGGCCGGTAGGCTCTCTCTCTCTAGCTACTGTTACTGTACCGCCGAAGATAACCGGATTTAGATTGATGGCATTTCCCCTGTCCGCTTCCTTCTCTCTTATTTTTTTTTTATTGCCCGCAGAGCAGCAGCAGCACAAAATCTAAGAGAGGAGTGACCCATGGACTAGAACTGCTGTACTGCTAGGTATATATACCGGTGGACCCTCGATCGCGCGGCCTCTCTCAGATGGGCTCGGCTTTTTTATCGGTACAACAGCTTTCGGCCTAGCTCGTGTGTGTTACGTCTAGATGCGTGCGTACATATAGATAGCCACCGAGCCACCAACTCTTGACTTATTTTTTTTTGTCAAGCTTCGACAGCGGGAGCTTTATAAGTTTCACCGCAATAAGCTCTCGCTTTCCTCTCGTATGACTTTTCTCGCGGATGGCAGCAAATCGATTGGCTATCAATTGTCGCCTGTATATAAATGTAAAAAAAGTAACCACAGGAGCTTGATTTATATGGATCACGCGTGAGTAATGATAAAAGCTCTCTTTCTTTGGCGGTATAAGCGCGTGTCAAAGGAAGATACGACGAAGGACGGCGCACGATCAAAGATTTAATAAATAAACACCCGCGCGAGCTTTAGGCCGTACGTACCCGAGTGAGTAGCGAGCTTGCGAGCTTGTAACGACGACGACGACACTAGGCGCGCTGTTAACAACACCTGGCCTATATATGCGCCCGTGTAAAGGCAAGAAATTACTATTATAACTTATAGTAAGTATAAGCTCGCTCTCTCACTCACTCTCTCTTGGCGTTGCTCTCAAGGCATTTAGCTTAAGTGCAACATATTTTCATAATGGCTTACAAGTATGGGCGCGCGCGCGAGCGAACGAGCGAGCGAACGAGTGGGTGGCAGTGGTGGCAACAGCAGCAGCAACAGTACAGCCCATGCAACTATACGCTGCACGCGGGCTACAACAAGCGTAGCGTGCGACGACGACGGCGACGGCGACACGTACGTATATAAACTTCAGAGTCCCTGAGTATTATACAGCAGAAGCAATAGCAACGGTGGAGCTCCAAGAGAGAGGGGCTTATATCGATTCGCCCAAAAGTCGATGTTATCATAAAGCTGCTGCTGCTGTTGTGTATACCACGACAAGAGGGAGGTCCGAAGAAAAACGTCGCGAAAATAAACTGAAAAATCTTTTTTGAACGAGCTGCCGGGCTGTGTTCAGTATCGTATGTGTGTGCGGGGGAATCCCATGGAATGGTGGTGGTCTCGCGGTCGACTCACTCGAGCCCTTCGACAGCTGCTTTCGAGTAGTATAACGATGGGAAAAGCAGGGGGGGAGGGAGGAGGATATAAACATTGTGTGTCCCGTACCACACACACGCAAGTCCAGCTCTCGTACATACATAGATTCATAATCCGATTATATTATAACGGGGCGCGCGTATACGGACCATCAACTTGATAATATCGAGAGAGAGAGAGCTGTCTCTCTTTCACGTGTGCGTCGTGCTTCTTCTCTACTACCGTGTGCACGGTCGCCCTTCGAGCTCTTGTGTTACAACTACTACAGAGATTTGCCAAATAGAAAAGCCTTTTACCTATTATTGTACGTATATGCGGGGATCGTATATATGGTACACGAAGCTGCTGCCAACGCGTATACGTATACACGTGAAAATGAAGTATGTATAAGGTATAAACATACGCCGGCGCGCGGAATATTTCCGATGTGCCCCCGATGCTGCTGCCGCTGCTGCTGCGTTCGTGCACATATAATACCGTATAATCCTCCGACGATACATGCAAGCGCGAGCTTTAATTCGCAAGTGCCTCTCGTACCGCAACGTATATACTATAGCGAACGCGCGCCAGTGCGGAATTACTATATGTATGCGTATCTCGTAATTTGTATGGAATTTTTTCTCTCTCTCTCACTCAACCCTCGGCGTTCTCGTTTCTCATTCTTTTTCAAAGGTTACACGTACGTCATATATATACGCGCTATATACGTTGTATCTCATTCAGATCTGCCCGCCGCCATATCGTCGTCGTCGTCGTCGTCGTCGCGCAGGATTTCTATATGTGTGCTCGGCAGCTCGAGCGGCAAGAAGGGGTTAATTAAGATAGCAGCAGAAGCAGAGTTACTATTTTTTATCACTGCTCGCTCGGAGCCGAGAGCTAGACGTCGGGGGTAAACCGAGAGGGGACAGGTGCTAAAAAAAAATGCGACTCTATATATACGCGCAGTATGGTACGCGCGGTGGATCGGATTATCATGACTGCAGGTAAATGAAGTGCTCGCGCGACGTCGCTCGTCGACGTCGACGGTTGATGTTTTAATCTCTTCCTCTCTCTCTCTCTCTCTCTTGATCCGAATTTTTAAAGAAATTATAATTATCGTTAGCTAGTAGAGCTCAGAAAATAAATTAAAGATAAATGCTATTTGTTCAACGTTGATGTATGAGCAATTAAAAAAATCTTCCGAATTCGAGGCGAAAATCGTGATTGAAATCCTTGTTACTTGAAGTGCACAGTTGATGATTTTTCATAATAAAATTTTGATAGGCATTTTGTCTTTTAGAGCTATTTTTGTTTTCATACGAATCGATGATATCAAACTGTGATCGTTCAGTTGTTTACGTCGCGCTTTGAATGCATGACATCTCCGCGGATTTCTCGCGACAGGCAGCAGCAGTCAGCGCGCAGTGCTTTGCCACAAAAGCGCTAACCTATACACGGAGGACTACGTCGCGTGGAGCTGATCGAGCATAACCTAAAGTTCTTTGCATAGACACAGTTTTACAAATTTCTGCGAGCAAAAACATCGCTCCTCTTCGATCTTTTCGCGTTGAGTTAGTGTTAGATGTGCAAATACATTAAATAGAGGTCAAGTTTTGGGACAAGATGGAATCCAGTGATACACTTAATTATGCTGTGAGGTAATTTTCGTTTTCTCGAGAGTGAAATGGTAAATACATAACAACGCAGTACTTAATATTTTTGGGGTTATTTCAGAGTAAAAGAGGAGCCTAGCGATGAGCCACTTATTGGAAATGATTTTGAAGTAAACAACGAGAAACCCGATCTTAAAAACTTCCAACTCGTACTACATCCGCGAGAAAAGTCGGTAAGTGTTAATTATTACGTTTGACTAGTATTGAAGTTGTTTTTTTCTGAGAATTCTCACATGGCTTTGATTTTTTAACAGACTTATACTCTTCAAAAAAGTGAAGGGAAGCATGATACTGAATTAGATGACGAAGTGGAAATAGTCGCTGAATGTAAAGACTTGAAGCCCAATATAGAATTAGTAGTTGCTAAAAAAATTGATGATGATTTTCAATATCACCTGCAAAATATGAATTATAGTGATGGTAGTAAAACTAAAACTATAATTAAAATAGAAACTACGGATGAAGTAAAACAGGAACTTTTTGCTGGAGTTTCAGACAAGTTGAATTTTGACTGTGAGCCTGGCTTACGAAATAAAAAAAGGAAAATTACAAACAAGGGTAACAACGAACATAACCTAAAAAGACACATTCGAACGGTGCATAATGATGACATGCACGATTGTGATATTTACGGGAAAAAATACTCAACTAAGGATAATCTCAAAAAACACATCGACTCACTACATGATGGAATCACACATACATGTGATATTTGCGGAAAGAAATACTCTGCAAAAAGTAGTCTCAAAATACACGTCGATGGAAAACATAATGGTGTCAAACATAAGTGTGATGTTTGCAGAAAGACATTTTCACTAAAAGCTTATCTCAAAAATCACATCGATTCGATGCACAATGGTGTGTCACATACATGTGATATTTGTGAAAAAACATTCGCAAATAAAGGCAGTCTCAAAAAACACGTCGATGGAAAACATAATGGTGTGAGACATGAATGTGATGTTTGTGGAAAGTCATTTACCCTTAAATCTACTCTCAAAACCCACATAGATTTGATACATAATAATGTATCTCATCATGCATGTAATATTTGCGGAAAAAAATACTCAAATAAGGATAATCTTAAAAAACACGTCGACTCGCTACACGATGGAATCTCTTATACCTGTGATATTTGCGGAAAGAAATACTCTGCAAAGAGTAGTCTCAAAAAACACGTCGATGGAAAACATATTGGTGTCAGACATGAATGTGATGTTTGCAGAAAGTCATTTTCATTAAAAGCTAATCTCAAAATTCACATCGATTCGAAGCACAATGGTGTCAGACATACATGTGATGTATGTGGTAAGTCATTCTCACTAAAAGGTAGTCTGAAAATTCACATAGATAAAGTACACAATGGTATCAGACATGCATGTGATGTATGTGGTAAGTCATTTTCACAAAAAAGTTATCTGAAAATCCACATAGGTGAAGTGCACAATATAGTGTCAGACATGCATGAAATATTTGTAAAAAAAATTCAAAACTAAGGGCTACCTCGAATGGGCATGTATATTGCTCATGAAGGTACTTGTACGTGCGAAACACGTGAAAAAAAACATTCTCAGAGAATTTGTGTCTCAAAACATAGGAGGATCTCATAATATTATAAATGAAAAGTTTTATGTTTGTCTCCCGAACATTCAAATATCTATATGTTCTCTCATTATGTAAAAACAATGTTTAAAATATAAATAAATTTGTGCATAAGCCAATAATTTTGTTTTGCGTCGTTGAACATTAATTCAAAATCATACCCTTAAAATCCCATTTTTTCGAACCGTAGTGTATTTTTCTTCCAATATTCGAAGTCTTAATGCCGAAAAATAGCCAAAGAAAAGTTTCGACTAATTTCGGCTGCAGCACAAAAATAGGTATTGATAAAATAACTATAAAAATTTTTATTGTTCCCACACTTTTTCATAAACAATTATCAACGTTTATTGAACTCCTAAAGTCACAAAAATTTCAATTGCTACTTCAGTCTTGAAAAATTTTTGCATTAAGAACTGCTTATATATGCGATGATGATTAATTAATATTCAAGTGAGATAGAGAGAAAGAGAGAGAGAGAGAGTGAGAGAGAGAGAAATAGATCGAGAGAGGAAGACAATCGCTTGGCTTGTTAATGATCGCACATCTACTCGACTAGTGTGTCCCGCACATATCGATCGGTACGCGCCTGTAGATATATGTCTAAATCGAAAAATCAATATAAAACCGCAGTCGGTCGCTATATATACGTAATATACGTTCATGCGTGTGCACATATGCAATTCGAATCGATCGTCGCGAGTTATATATTATACAGCGCGATTATACAGACGCGAAGCTTCGCGCGTATACAATCGTGATATAGCCTCTTTCTCATCAGTCGAGCATCCTTCCTCCCTTTCAACGTCGCAGGAGAGACGACGATGATGAGGCGCAACTGCAGCGCCGATCGTCATCATAATCATCGTCATCGTCGCTGCGCCGTGTAATAATATCTGAAAGGGGCAGAGTCGAGAAGTAGCTGCTGCAGAAGCGGGGCTCTACTCGGCTCTCGCTCATAGCTCATTAGCCGAAGCGAATATCCTGTGCGCGCCTCGGCGTCGATTGTCGGCGCACGAGTAGCGGCAAACTTTTCTTCAAAAAAAAAATATCTATAACAATGCATCACTCGGCTCAGTTATATTGTTATTACAACTATTTACTACAACTGGCTGTACGAGAACAACGAAACAACGGCAGCAGCATCAACAACAACAAGCTCACTGCTAATACCGCGTCGATTCGCTTGGTAGCCTTTTGACAGCAGTGTAGTACGCGCGGGTGGTGGTGGCTCTGACTATATATATACACGCAGGAAACGCTCGAAAACAGAGAGAGAGAGAGAGAGAGCACAGGGGAGGAGGGCCAAGGCTATTCTAATGGATGGCTAGCGGCAACTTGAATTACGACCTCTCGGCCCTCTGCTGTATACAGTAGTACTACACACACATAGCAGCGGGGCATTACATTGCGTGTAATGCAATTATTGCCGCTCGCACGCATACAGTGTTGGAGCGATACCACGACGATTTTTGCGTAGACGCGATACTAACTATGCACACACATTCGTGTCGGGAAAGGAAATTCTCTCGACTCACGAATTGTCCTCGCGCCTACTATACTCCTACGCGTATACGAGAGTATTAATAGTGGCTCGGTCAAGACAAATGCCCAAAAGGTTTCCACGATTATTATTGTTGTTATTATGTGCGGCGAGTATGGCGATAGTCCTTGGAATAATATAAGGAAGCCCGGCCGAAGTCCATAGCCCTAGTCCTAGTAGTGTGTGTATATGGTAAGTGCGTATTCATTAGTGTTATGTATGAAGAGCGGGGCTCGCGCGTTAAGGGCCCCGGCCACGTGTGTGAAGGGTGCTAACTCACTTACCAGATATAGAGACAGACGGACGCGACGCAGGCACGAGTCCGAAAGGCTTGCGAGAGCTGCATTACGTATACGCCCACGCGATACGTATACGTACACCGGTGTAAGCGGACTATATACGTAATTCTTTATTTTCGGACCGGTCAAAGGCACTGAGGGTGGTGGTGGTGGTGGTGCCCAGCAGCAACAGACTGGATTTATATCGGTATATATATTTCAAAATATCGTGTATTCGTACGTATGGTACGTGCGGCAGGTATATATACAGGCGGGGGGGTACCAACCAACCAACGTTTACAAGCGAACACGTGTTCCGTTCAAGATTGAAAATTTATCGGATGACGCATTTGCCCGCCTCGCGCCCGATCGCTTTATACGCGGTTACACACATATATACGCAGACACATACGTAACGTGTAATTTATACATTTACACGTACGATCTAGACTGCCATAGCACATACTAGTTGCAATAATTTCGTTAGAATACGCTATCAATACTGTCAATCGAAATGAATTAGAGGCTGCTGCCGCTGCTGGTGCTGCTGCTCGTCGATTGATGCGAAATTGATTGGTTTTCGACCACAGATACACGTACATAAATATATATACGATATACCTTACCGTCATCCCCCGTCGCGGAAGCAATGCGATGGGTTTTAGCCGCCAGGAAAATTAAATTATTATATATATCGTGGTGCTCTGTACACGCGTGCGTACGAGCGTTTGACAGGGGATGAGAAACTTGCCAAAGACGAGGTTCGATTTTCATTTATTTATATTTCAATTAGCGGCTCGTCAAAAATATATAATCCAGGTGAGTTTATAAGATGTTCTTTTTTTTCTTTGCTATCAATTCGGATGCAGGATGAAATATATATACGAAAAGTTATGACTCGCGATATCGATATCGGTTCCTTGATTGTCAAAGATAGAGAGAGATGGGAGAGAAAATGAGAGCGAGAAAAAGAGAAAGAGCAAAAGAAGATAACAAAAAAGTTTTCCTCCTAGCTTTATATTTTATATATATAATAGACAATAAACATCGGGTGCGCAATTGGCAGAGAGAGAGAGAGAGAGAGAGAGTATTGGGTGCTAAATCGAATATGTTCCCTTTTATTTATATATATGGAACGAGCGAGGATTTTTCGTTCGGGGTTTCGATTTCAACTCAATTTGCGACGTTTGTAGAGAAACTACGCGGGGAATGCCTTTCTACAATTCGCTCACGGCCATCTATATATATATCGTATATATTGTCCTCAACTCCTTTATTATTTGGGATCCGCAGCAGCGGCAGTTTCAATGGCGCACAAACTCCGAAAACGTTCCACGCGTATACAGTTCCCATATACTCGCGCATTTATGTGCGTAAAAATCGGGCGCAGGTACATATTATGAATTCGAAAATTTCGTATGGCATCCCGCGGTATTCTCGCGCGCGTATATATAGACCGCCGAAAATTGATGGGAAATTTATTCAATCGCGCGAATGGCAGGTGCTATTATATATACTTGCTAGGGGTTGGGGGGAGTGGGACATTATTTAAGTAAATGGAATTACATCGGTCGAATTGGCTGCTTCTATGCAGCGCGCGACTATACGTACATACATATTTCAGGGCTGAAAGTCTGCGACATCGAATATGCGAGTAATTATAGATAAATCAAACTCGAGGCCACCGCGAATTTGTCCAGCAGCTTATCACTGATTTTCCAACGTATACGATATTCAGGAGTCGCCCCCCGAAAACATCTTCGCTCGTTCTCTATACAAATTCGAATCGATAACGTCCGCGTTATAATAATAATAATCATAATATTACGGCGAAGTGCGTGTCGGTATCACGACACTCTCGAGGATATCTCTGCAGCAGGTTCTCGACGCGGCGTGTACATACGTACATCCTTATCACCGAGAGCTCAGGAGCTTCTCCCGCGTACACACGTACCACGCATTGTATCCGCAAGAATCGCGATCTATGAAAAAAAAAAATGTCGCGCAGTTAAATTCAATCGGATCCGTGTATAACACCTACGCAATACCTATACGTTTAGATCCAATAAACGTCGCGGTGTGCTCCTGCAGGAGTCTGTCTTTAAGTCACGATTGAGCCGTATACGTATCACGACTGCGCACACACATATACGACGTGTGCCAGGGCACAAAAGAGAAAGTTCGGAAGATCAAACTCGCTCTCTCGCTCTCTCTGTCTCGCCAAAGCTCTCGTCGTCCTCGTATACGATCGGGAAAAGCCCCGAATCCCGCGTCTATATCTATGTACCACCGACCGAGGCAGCCGCACACAATACAGCAACGTGCCAGCGCTGCGTTATCTGCTCTCCCGTGTGTCTGTGTGTGTTATAGCCCTGTGGGCTCAATTCCAGAGCCAGGCA